ACAGGAGCTGTAGAACAAGCAGGTGAAAATCTTGATGAAAAATGTGTATGCATGTCTGTAGTGAGTTGAAAAGTTTACTTTGTCCTTCAAAGGTTGGCCTTGCTATTGTTAACTTTCTCTTTGTCAGTTCAAGATTAGACTGTGATAACATCTTTAAAGGAGGCATTAAGTTTGATTCCTTGGCATGTGGAAAGTTAGTGGAGCTTGTCTTCCCACTTGGACTAGTAGGTAGTAGGCACCTGGCTGGTGTTCTGTAATGTGCTTTCCTGACACTCCTATTCAGTGTCAAATTAATATGATTGAGTACACCTACAGATGCTGAAACTCAGCTGGTTGTAACCTAATGGGAAAATTCTGGCTGTATGTGAGACAGCTTGTCTAAAATGGTGTTATTTTCTGTTTTGGAAAAAAATTCAATTATACTTTCTTTATTTTAGCTTTCATCCAGAAATGAAGTGGTTTCAAAATGAAGAGACAGTTACAGTGAAGGTAAAAGTAGCAAGTGTAGCTGACTGTAAATGTGAGTTCTCTAAGGATAAGGTGGTTTTCAGGTAGGTTTAAGAAATTTAAATGTAATAAAGAAAACACTTGACTGTGAGTTTGCATTTAATTTTTTTTACTTTTTTATAACATAGTGCTTGTGCAGAAGATAAACTTTATTTGGCTGACATGGAGCTGCATCAGTATATAGTTGCTGAAAAGTCTACATGTGTGATTAAGGAGAGAGAGGCTATTATTGTTCTCACAAAAGAGAAAAAGGGAGCATGGTGTGAATTACTGAAGAACAAGGTGAAGTAGAAATTTGTGAATTATTGAATGCTCTGAATATATTCAATGTGCATCAGTACAGTTATTTCAAACAATGTTTTTGTTAACAGAATCTTCATGTGTCTTTTGATTTTGAGCACTGGGAAGATTTTGAAGATAAGAGCCCTTTTCCCCTTGGTAAGAAAGGAACAAGTCTGTATTTATAATGTATAAAACAATTAGTGTCCTCATTTTTGCGCAGGCTTTATCTGAAATACTCAGTTCAGGTAGATGAAACTTAGCTAGCTTGCTCAAATCCTCTGAAAACAAATGAGAGAACCTCTAATAACAAACTATAGGCAGTATTCTTCTATCAGAATAGCACAGACAACAACCAGTTTAAAGCAGCTTTTAGTGTTCTGGCCTAGTTTATAGTCTGAATTGTGGAGGTTTTGTTGTTTGTGTTTTTTTTTAAGTCTGAATTGTGGAGGTTTTGTTGTTTTGTTGTGTTGTTTTTTTTAAATACAAGTACAAATTTATTCTGAAGCTTGTGTATTTTCTTGCTTTACAAATGATACACTTTGTTAATTACTTCTAGGTACTGAAAAGCTGTATTGCACTGCTGCAGTAACTGAAGAATTGGCTGACTCCTCAGAAGACAGTGGAACAGAAAGTGATGAGTAATTTGGAGACAGGGCTTTTTCCTCTGATAAGAATTATGCTTCAAAATAGTGTCTCTTACATGAGTATTTCCACTAAAATTAATTAAGCATACAAGTAGCAGGACTGCACTTGATTTTAAGAGATTAACAGTGAACAAATTCCTTACCTTTTGGGCTCTGAGGATCTGAGGAAGTACTACATAGAAGAACAATATGTATGTTTTCCAGTGCGTTCATTTCAAGATTGTTGGCTTTAATGATGATGTGTACATATATACATGTGTAGTCCAAACAATAAAATCTAAAGATAAAACTTGAGTTGTGAAGTAGTTGAATGTATTGGTAAATAGAGAGCTTCTAGTTGGCTTGATCAGAGTGAATTTGCTGTGTTGGCAATCGTTAGAAACAATCAACAAATTGTCAGGATTTGTGAAACTTCAAAAATGACTGTGTCCCTCATTCACACAGTGTCAGTTGGCAGTCATGGGATTTGTCCATTTTGCATCAAGAAATACGTCAAGTCCAATGGCAGTTTTTGTTACTTGATTGGAAATGTATTAACCTGGCAAGGAAATACTGCACAGTGCAGCTGGCTGTAGCATCTCACTGCTGTACAGCTTTTGTGGAACGAGCACTGTGGTAGTAGCTTTAGTATTTGTTTTCAGTTTGACTTCTTTACTTTTCATTAATGTTTTTATTTCATTCCCTCCAATTTACCTAAAACTTTTCTTCTTTGCAAATAATAAAATCTTCTCTGTTCAGCCCTGAGGCTTTGTCTTTTACTCTACCATCTTTCAGTGAATTTTTCACTGTTAGATTTGTGCACATCAGAACATCTTGCAGGAAAGGAGTCATGTACAAGGTACTTAGAGTAAATGAATCTGGTATCAATCTCTTTGCATATATGGATTTTAAAGCATGTTAGTTTCACCAGCATACCTGTGTGGTGTTTTAGAATAGAGACCTAACCTTACAAATTTTTTTTAAGAAGCCTAAAATTCCATTGTATTCTTGACTAGGAAGTATATACTTGGTCATTGGGGATTATTCTTTCAAGAAACATTGGCATGCCTTCACTTCAAGAATGGGAGGTCCATATGTTTACACTGACATATTTTTCTAGTATTAGCATATAGTAACACTTCTTTCAGAATATTTAATATTGATGATGCCAGTGGAAAAGTGCCATGTGTCAGAAATGGTTGTAATTGTTAATGTATTTCTAACGTAATTACATTATTAATGTAATTGTAATGTTTAATGTACTAAAAAATAGTGCTCTTGGGAACCTGACTTCTACAGAGCTTAATTATAACTTTCATCTTGGTACAGGTACTTGGTAAGCTGCAATTGCTGTAGAAGTGCTTAAGAAAATAGTTGATGTAGTTGTATTTTGGTCTTGGTCTGCATTGTGATGCAAACAGAAGATTGTCAAATTGCCAGATTGGATGAAAAAAAACTGATGAGGCAGGATGTTTTCCCTGGCATGTTTTGTTCTTTGACATTTGTGATATCTAAATGTAATGGAAGGTGTTTTTTTCTGCTGGTAGATACATCTAGTGGATCATTTAATAGACATAATTTATCTGTATTTTTTCTATGAAACATAACACACCTTTCATGAGGTAGAAGCAAAAGGTGGTTTTAGCCATACATTCTTAACAGTTGCCAGGAGCCAGCCTATAAAGAACAGTGTAAAACATGTCACAGTACATTCCACAGATATATTTAGCCTCAAGCAATTTTTGATCAGGGTTGCCATGAGAGAGATTTTTCTGTGGACTTTTTACTTGAATTAGTTCAGTTGCATTTTGAGACCCGTATCAACTTTTTAACATTTTTCCTGCACTAAGGAATTCAGTAGTCAAACAACAAGATTTTGGGGAAAAAAAAGATTTTCTGTGTTTTGAAGCCATCCCTACCATCTGCTTCAGGCACCCTCAAGGTGTAATAGGAACGGATAGCTTGTCACTTAAAACTGTCTGTGAACCTGGCATAATTTTTGCTCATACCTGAATCAGGTATCTCTGTCAGCCTTAAAAACTGTAGTAGTATACAAAAGTACTGTATTCCTGTGGGTTTTTTTCCCTGAACCTTGTAGTCCTTCTCTTTGAAGTGATGCTTTGACTGACTGGGGTGTGGAAGCAGCTGTTGTAATAGTGTGACTGTGACAAAAAAACTCTGGCAAGTGGGCACTTTGTGTGTTTTACAGTAGTTCTGGTCTCCATTGCCTGCCTTAGTCACTCTTAACTTTTTGCCTTTGTTTCACCGATTGCACATGGAACTGTTATTTTCATGGACCTGACTATAATCACAAAATCTCCTTCAACTGCATCAGAATCCATTATTTTTATCTGTACCTTTGGGGATTGCTTTTCCATGTAGGTAGACACAAAATGAATCTGTAGGAAATTTTTATTTCTTTGTAGCTGTAAGATGATAGAGCTTCTTTAGTTGAGTTTACTAGGCTGTAGTATGGATTTACAATCTGAATCCAGGTGCTTGGTAATCTTATGTTTAGGATGAATGTGTGTAGAAGTTGGGAGGACTTTCGTTTTCAGTATAAACAATCTTTCTCAAATTAATTCAAAATATTGAGAAGTGACTTGATAAAATTTCTCTCCTTATGTTTACACTCTGAATCCAGTTGCTTGGTAATCTTATATTTAGGATGAATGTGTGTAGAAGTTGGGAGGACTTTCATTTTCAGTATAAACCATCTTTCTCAAATTAATCAAAATATTGAGAGGTGACTTGATAAAATTTCTCTCCTTATCTGTTTACACCAAGGGAATATAGTAGTACAGAATTTTTACCTACAATCCATAAATTTCTTGGGCAGGGAAGGTGAAAGCTGCTCACATCTATATGTTAATGAAGTATCTGGTTTTTGTATGATTTTCATCACCTGCCAAATAGTGTTTCTGGGATAATGAACCTACCTCTGTAAAGTCACATTCATGCTGAGGTTAATTTGTGTGGCATTTACTTGTTCTGTAACTTGGATGATGTGAGAGAAAACACTTGCTTGAGAAATGAAGCTTTAATTTTCTTGTTTTAATTAAGGGGGGAAAAAAATTAGCCTCCTCTTGTCCTGTCACCCATGCTTTCCATTTTTACTCGATTCCCATTTCCTCAGTCTTTAATTTTTTTATAGCTAGTGTTCAGTCTGAGAAACTGAGAATGCGTTAGTCTGGTTTTACTTTGTCTTTTGTGTGGCCTTTTGAATGTGATGCTGTAAATGACAGCTGCTTCTTTCTTTCAGCAGTGTGATCAAAAGCACCTTGACAGCGTTACTGGCAAGTTTTGCCATCTTTGTAATTGAAAAGTTCCTGGTTTATATTTTCAGTAATTTCAATGCAGAAAACAAGGTACTGTAACATATTAGCAAACAATGAAAACAGCTCTCCTGGGCAGTGTAATCTGACTCAAATTTTTTACTCTTCTATATCATTTTTCAAGTACTGAAGTGTTGCAAAAATACACCAATATGAACATAACAGTTTAGAAAGTATAAAATGTGTGCCAAACTAAAATGAATTTCTTTCAACCAGTATAGCACTTAAACAACTTGGTACATAAAAAATAACTTTATTCAGTAACTTCCTCTGCTGGAACAACTTCCAAAAGCATCTGAAGGTGCATAGTGATGGGGTCTGAGGAAAAAAAGGTATTGTTAGAGGCTTTAAGAGAAAACAGTATTTCTGTTCAGGCATAGAAAATATAGTCTATTTTTCTAAGTGAAAGTTATTCTTGTGAGTAGTTGTCTGTTCTTTCTGTATTTATATCTCAAGCTCAAAAAGTAAGGGGTGGGGAATAAAAACAATCTTAAGATCCAAGCTGCAACATTTCAGGGTTTATCAACTTGCTCTTTTTGGAGTACAATGCTTCCCATTGCATAGTTAACATAATATTTAATAATCCCTGAGGGTAGGAGACTGATAAAAAATAGTCTATTTTTCTAAGTGAAAGTTATTCTTGTGAGTAGTTGTCTGTTCTTTCTGTATTTATATCTCAAGCTCAAAAAGTAAGGGGTGGGGAATAAAAACGATCTTAAGATCCAAGCTGCAACATTTCAGGGTTTATCAACTTGCTCTTTTTGGAGTACAATGCTTCCCAAAGCATAGTTAACATTTAATAATCCCTGAGGGTAGAAGACTGATAATGGATTTTTCTTTTCATGTCTGTAGAACCCCTAATTCTGTCATTCTCAGCTGGTTCCACTTTCCCTTTTAGAAATACCTCTGTATCCTGTCTTCCTGAGGTAACTGCAGAGATTTTTTTTCTCTTGAGACTATGCAAAATCATTTTCTGTATGGTCACACTGAGTTCTTGTCTTTCATTTTACTCAGCAGCACCATGGTTGGTTTTGGTCTTAATGGTGTTTATGTTTCTTTAGTAAGTACAGTAAAACTGATGATTTGAGCTAAAAGCAGTATTTTGTGGTATAAAAATGTCTGTCTGCTAATCTTTAGTTAATGGCTGAAGCCATGATTTGAATTGAAAACCTAACTTTACAGATAAAATAGTCCTGTTCATTTTAGAAGTCAGTTTCTTTGTGCACCTCTAGTGTCATATGGCTTTTTGTGAACTGTTTCATTTTTTCCTGAAATCAGACACCACTTTTTTTTATCAGGAAGAAGTAAAATACAACCTTCAGTAAAGCTTACTATATGACATCTCACTACGTGTATGGAAAATTGCCTCCCTCTCCATCTTGCTCACATGGTTTAGATAGGATGGACTATATAATAAGCTTTGTTTATGGTAACTAACCTAAAGCTTAGCAATGTTTTGTGGCACTTTGGAGCTGGCTATCTGACATATACTTACTTGATATTTTTTGGGGCCAGTCGAATTTAAAATGAACAAAAAGTACATAAACTATAAGTCCACTAAGTATAAATAAAACACAGTACAAGTAGGCCAGTTCAGGTGCACTGATGATTGGTGCCAGTACCAGTAAAATGGAGACTAATACCACTATGACTGGGATCATGATGGGTATCTGCAAGATATAAAGCACAAAACTACTGTTTATTCTTTTGCTGTAGTTACAGAAGTTGCATATATGAAAGAATATTTTCATTGCCTTACTCATTTTTTCCCTTCAAAATTTTTTTCTGTAATTAGGTGGGGCAATTGAAAGAGTAGCAAGACTATGGATAAGGGAAATCTGCTATGTCACTGAGTTTTTTTGCAAATTGCAGTGTAAAAGTTCTGCATTTTAATGAATCTGGGACCAGACTCCAGTGGAATGACCCGGGGGTCTTATTTTGTGTCCTCTTTCAGCGAGTCTCCTCACTGCAGTAACCTATCCTTGCAAATCTGGCTTGTGCCCATGGTCTGCTGCAAGTCAAAATAAACATTGTATAATCTTTCCCATGCCCTTAGGAGCTTTGTCCTAGTGCAAAATAGAACAAAGAGAGCTACAAATAGCTAGGTTTCAGGTAAGGGGGGAAAAAAAACCCAACCAAACAAGGAGTCTGCCTGAGGGGGGGGGGAAAAAAAAACAACCAAACAAGGAGTCTGGCTGAGCATGAGTTTAAATATGCAAATATTTAGGATGAGCTGATGTTTCAGTACTTATGGGAGTGGAGGAAAAGTCGTACTGAACTTACCCTGATGGGTCTCCTGAGTTCCTTTCTTGTAAACCTCATAACAATGAGTGCAAGAACAGTTAAGCCATAAAATATCCAGACTGCGAAACTAAAATAATTTATGAGTGTGTCAATGTCACCAGGGATAATATAAATAATGGCAATGGCCCCCTAAAATGAAACAAAAATTACTATAGTCAACTGTAAGAAAGGCTGAGTTTTACTGAATGTCAGTATGGAACACGATGAATGTACATCCAGAGTGATCTGTGAATACTTTGGCTTTAGCATCTAGGTCTTGCTGTATTGCTGCACCTTTTAAAGATAGTGTCCATATCCTGCCAACATGGGCTTATTTTCATGTGCAGTCTTCATTCCATTTTAAGACAAAAGTCTTAAAATTTGTATGCGTTAGTTTTGTTGTTGACTGCATATCTTGAGAGTAAGTGAAAATTCTAGGTTGATTTTATTATGTATTTAGAGAACAGAGAAGTAAATGCATTCTTACAGGGAGGAAACAGGGTAGTGATGGCTTGCTTTCAGGTATCCTGTGAAATAAAGGATTTGTCTAATACTAATAATCCTAATACTAATAATTCATTTATTCTTTCATTTTGTTTTCATGTACTGGATTCCTAAATGCTTGGATTTTAAAATCCAGTTTTCTGGAATGAAACTGTTCAAACTGAGAAGTTGGGGGGTTTTATGTAGTCTTTTTTCCCTAATGTGTTTAGCCTTTTTCTTGTCTAGGTAGTGAAAGATGCAAGTCTGCTGGTAAGAAATTGTGAAAGAATCTATTACTGGACAATTTGTGGTGCTGGTTTTTCCTGTACTTAGAATATACTTACGTAAAACATGATGGCAGGTGCTGGTGTTAAACGCTTAACACTGATGTAAGACAGCACCTTCAGCATGTGCCCTTCACGACCTGCAACATAAACAAGTCTGACAAAACAAAAACAACGCATCTCGTTAGTGCGGCACCTAGGCTGTCAGTGGCGTCACTAAAACAAAACCGAGTATCCTACTTCCTCAGGTTTGTTTCATTGGGTGGCTACATCTGGCTCTAATTTCATCAGTCTCTCCTTTGGTGTATTCAGTGGGGTTTAAGGAGTATTGTATTAGACCAAAATAGGGGAAATAAGCAGTATTAAAGCAGTGAACTTGAAAGCAATTCTGAACCAGTATTAAAGTAGTGAATTTCAAACCAATTTCAGAAGTATTAGTTTGTAAATTTATTAAAATCATTCTGGAAAAAATGTTACCTACTGTGTCCCTTGAAATATTTAATATG